AAATATATATATATTGATAAACTGTTTTATCAAAGTTTTAAGCATTCTTCCCTGAGAAGCATACTGTTATAGGAATAAAAAGATAAGACACAGACCAGGAGAAATTGTTTGTAAATCACATTTCTGACAAAGAATATAGAATCAGATTAATAAAGAACTCTCAAAACTTGACAGTAAGAAAACAAACAAGCCCATAAAAACAGGTCACCAAACTCACCTCTGCATAACACTTCTATGCTATAAATTTTCATTTGAATATGTATATTTTTCTAGTCAGTTATGGATGCAAACCGTTCACCAATTTTCATTTGTACCATACTATTTGATGCCGAAATTAGGCTTTTGATCTCTGTTAACCTTTGATGTACTTTATATTGAATTTTAAAAAACAATTAATTTTCTTTGAACTCAGGAATAAAATTTCATATAAGTCCTTAATAAACAGACTACTTTTCTATCACATAAAATTGGCTCTTTCAACAACAAAAACAGTTGTAACTTTCTGATTCATCAAACTTGTTTTCTTGCCTTTTATATAATGAACACTGAGCATGAATCACCACATTTCTAATCACTACCAAACTTCCTCCTTCCCCTGCTACACAACTAAACAATTCTGGAACACAGCAATGAAAGAAGTCACCCTTATTTTCCCTTTGCTCCTATTTCTTCACTTATATCTCATCACCTGGTACCATTCTTTGTAAGTCATTGTAAACCGTGTTCGGGAACAATGTGAAGTACATCCTACAAATTCAGCATGAAAACATCCTTTCAGATTAAGTTATTCAATGTGGAAATATGTAACCCTCTTCTTCCAAGTGAACATGTGTGGTTTGTTTGTTTGTTTGTTTGTTTGTTTGTTTTGCCCAATGCCATACCTGTTCATACTATATTTTTCTGCTGGCAATCAGAGAGATAACAAATCTTGAAGATATTCTATGCCCTGCATGTTCCTTGTCTTAACCTTTTTTTTTTCATTATAGTACTTCTCATCACCTGACATGAGAAACAGAACATTAATAAATGCCTCCTTCCTTCCAGTAAACTGTAAGCTACATGAGAACAGAGACTTTGTCTTTCTTGTGTCTTCTTTTATCACCAGTACCCAGAACAGTGTCTGCTACACAGTAGATGCTCGATAAATATTTATGGAATGAATGAGTAGCCAACATATCTCTCTACCTCATTCCCGCACAGTCTTCCAGAGATCCTGGCTAGCCCATGGCAGTTCTGCTGATGGGAACAACAAAATATGCTGCCTTCCACTCCCTCCTTTCTGCCAGGATTAGTGACCAGGTCTTTTTGTCAATTTCTGTGCTCACTAGATACTGAGGACAGAGGATCATAAGAAGTAGCATCCGTGGTTATCCCATCTAACTCCAAATGTCCACCAGTGCCCCATATCAAATGAAAACAAAAAGCAGCTCTCTCTCTATACTTCAGATGAAAACAGGCTAAATGCTTTCAGAGCAATAGACAGGCTGGCTTCCTACTAGACACAACTACCGAGTATTCACTCACTGGACTTAGAGTCCACAGAACTGTTTTCTAGTTTAGGATCTGCCACGAACTACATCCTCACCAAGTCCCCAGCCATTAGTTTAAAGATAGGTAACAACACTAAATTGAAGACATGATGCCAGGCAGCAGGGGGGAGGTGAAGCAGAGGTGCTGGGGAGGCTGGGGAGTGGGAGGCACAGCAGAACCATCTGAGAAAACTTTTCAAACTACACACGGCCCATCCCTAAAGAACTGCACCCTAACCTACCCCTTGAGAATTGCCACCACAGGCTAAGTCTCTATTGCTGTTACTCATGGGAGTATGAAAAAGTCAGAGAAAGTTTTCTGGGTTTTGAATGTAAGTTCTTCGAGGAGTGGAACCAAGATTATGCTTCATAGTGATGTCCAGAGTGGTATCTAGTGTAGAGTTCTCCTGTCTGTACCTGGGCTTCCAGTCTCAGCTCCTTCCTCCCCATCAGCCATACCATGCACAAGGTCCGGCAGAAGTAACTCCTGCTGGAGTGTGGTTGGTGGGGTGTAATCATTTATAGTTTTAATTTGAACATTTCACCAAAAATGTCTTATTGTAATGTTACAGAATTACATGCTTATGATTTAGTAAAAGATTTTGTAATAAAAAGGGGGGCGTTATTTGTGCCAGACTTTGTACTTCTATTGTGCTGAACTTCCCCTAACTGCCCACATGAGCCATGCCTTTCATCATCTGTGCCCACCCACCTGTGGGAGACACGGGTGACTGCCTACCTAACAGCCCGAAAGGCAGTCTCACTTTCTTCCTTGCTAACAGAATTCCGATTTTGCTCAGATAGGGAGCATGGATGTGCTCAGGGAAAGTGAGCCCCTCCCCCACCTCCAGAAGCCTGCTTGGCCAAAACATTCACAGCCACCCTCTTCTCCTTTGCCAGTGACTGGTTTAGGGTGGGCATGTGATTATTCTGGTCAATGACACTTGGCCATGGCACATGGAACTTCTAGGAAATTTTGTCCTTTGTCATCTAGAGAAACACAAAGTGGCAAGCCCTGTCTCTTCCTTTCTGCTTTGGCTGTTATCAAATGGAGGCATAATGAAGCTCCGGTCACCCTGTTCCAGGGCAGGGAAAACCAGAGGAATCTTTGAGGAGCCGACCTAGAGCTGCCACTACTTTGAACTGCCTCCCTCCAGGCTTCTCACGCAAGATAGTAAAGTAATCTAAATAATGTCATTTGCAACAGAAAATGCCCTACGTGATACACTGCCCCATAATCTGGGAAGTCCGTGCAACTTCTCCTACAGCAGCCCTACTCATCTCCAGTATAAAGGTCAACTTGGGAAGTCTTCACTGTAAGTCCAGGGAAATGGTCCCAGACACTGCCTTTCCAGATGGACTGTGAGCTCAAAGGCAAGCATTTTCACCCTTGGCAGAGGCCTTAGCCCATGTTGGGCATTAATTAAACATTGAATGAATAAATGAACAACAAAACAATGAATGAAAAGATGAATATGCAAGATGCCCTCATGCCTTGGATAAAGATTTGATGACTCACAGACAGACTATGACATCCAGGCTGTGTAAACTCTGCTGTAGACAGTTTTAGATGAGCAAAGAAAGGCAGAGACAGTGCAATGGGCATGTCTATTTTTATCTGCCCAGAACGCAGCCTTCTCCTTGGGAACTGCCCCTCCCCAACCCCCAGCAGCTGGGGTGGCACCATCAGAGTAGCTAAACTGATCTCCCTGGCACTGCTGGCACCTGAGCAAAGTACCCACTTCTATGGTGAAAGCCCACTCCCTGTCCACCAAGAAGGTTTGGCCCTGCTTGGGTCTAATACGTCAGTAAGATTTGCTATAATGACAGAGAAGGTAGAAGAAGACACTCTCCCCAGCCAACCCCACCCCACCCCACCCTCTCTCTGAAGGAGCAGATAAGCCTGGAGGTGCCAGTGACATTTATCATTGCATAGTAAGAGCCAGTCAACACAGAGAAAAGCTGGGATATACTGTATTTTGCTGTGTATACTGCACACTTTTTTTGCGCGAATTTTTGAGGGAAAAATAAGGATGCACATTATACATGGGTATAATGATTCTATACTGTGGGTATAATAATCCCATGTATGATGCGCACAAACATGGTGCACATTATACACAGCAAAATATGGGTATATGAGAAAGAAGGAGCCCTGCAACTTGACAGGAGCTCCTGGATCTAACTATGCCTGAGGCTCAAACCCTCAGCCTTTTCCTTTATGTGACCCAATCCATTTTTATATTGCATAAAGCGACTTCCTTGTGAAGAAAATCCAACCCCAAGAAAAGAATTCTGCCAAATGTAATCATGAGAGCAGGCTGATAACACCCCTTCTATCTGCAGGGTCTGTGCACCTGCTCCTCATTCTCGGCCTCTAGAATGGCTTCAGGAAGTAAAGAAGCAGGGGCGGGGGGGCTACCTATGAACAAGTCAGAGTGATTAAAAAAATAATAATAATAATTACATTTAAATTAAAAATAAAATAAAGAAAATATTTAAAAGGCTTCCAGCCCCCCCTCCCCCCCAAAAAACACACAACCACCAGGCTCCCTCCCAGAAGAGCCTCCTGGATCTCCTTTCTGTTTAGAAATGTGTGGAGGCTTCTGGAAGTCATAAAGTGTTACATTAACACCTAAACAAAATAGAACTTTTTGCCAAGCACTGTGCTATGTATTTTATGAACAGCATGTAACTTAAAGCTGTTCTAATGATTACAATACCCATTTTACCTTTGAGGAAATTGAGGATCAGCGAAGTTAAGTAACTTGCTCAAGGTAACACAGCTAGTAACTAACCACCATTCTAGACTACTTCCACTTGGTCACCCTGATCAGCAGGCCCCGCGAGACGGAGAGCGCCCCTCCACCTCCACCTCTCACAATGCCCCAGGGCACAGGGACCTGCAGCCTTACAACCGAAGGCCCAAGGAGTCAGAGCAGCTTCTCACACTTAGCTTCTCTGCAAGCCCCAGGTAACCCATGTGTATTACTCAACACCAACACCAAAAGTAAAGAGCCTAGCTGAGAAGGCAGCAGCACTGACGCGGGCCGCTGGGAAGCGCCGCAGATGGAAAGGCTGGAGCCCCCTTCCCTCCTCCGTCGGCATGAACCCCTGCACCAGCTCCGCGCTAGTCTCGGCAGTGCGGCCCCCAACCTCTCCTCTCCCCACCAGCGCCACGGAAACAGTGCTTCCCGGGCCACTTAAAGCGCCACGCAGACGCCGCGTTCAGCGCGGCCCCGGCTCCTGCCCTGTCCAGATGTGCGCAGCTGTTCGCCCTAAGCCAGCAGCAGGATCCCGACCTCTCTGCTGTCTTGCGGCTTCCGCGAGCCTCGCTCCCCGCGCTCCGCGCGCTGGACCGGGGTACTCCGCATTGCCCGCTACAGCCCTTCGGCGCCGCAGGGTTCCGACGCGGGATCCGCAGTCCCCCCGCCGACCACAGTCCCAGGTCCGCAGCGCCGCCCGGCTCACCTGCGCCGCCCGCGCCAGCCCGGCCCTCGGCGCACCCGCTCGGCTCCGGGCCTCGGCTCCCAGCGCGCCCGCAGGGGGCTGGCGTTGGCTGCGGCCACGCGGGGCGGGGCGGGGCGCGTCTCCTCCCCGCTCTGAGCCACCTGGGGCACCCGCAGAGGGCCAAGGCCGGACAGGTGGGCCCTGCGGGCCAGTGAGCAGCCCGGGGCTCCAGCTCGGCTGGGACACCTCACGGATCCTCCGCGGGGCAGAAGGGAGGCCCGGGCGACCTCGAGTTAAGTGACACCTGGTACCCTTAGAACTTGGGAGATGGCGGGGAGCCAGAGCCCCGCCTGTTCTCACGCAGCCTGGCCCGCTTGTGAAATGGAACACAGAGGGAGTGAGCTGGGCCCAGCTGAGCTGGAAGAGGGGGAGGCCAACCTCTTTCTATCGTAACCGAGACCCTCGGGTGAAAATGACTGAGCCAAGGGCACAGGTCAGTTAGTGCAGAATTGGAGAACTCAAAAGGCCTTTTCCAATCGTTCCACCCTACCCCATTCCCTCCTCACCCACCCCTCAAACTATCCCCCCTGTCTTTTTTTAATAATGGCATTAGGTTATAAAAAAGATCATATCCGACGGTAATATCCTCCCCACCCCCCAGACTGCAAGCCCCAGATTGGGCAGGAACCTCACCTGTCCACTGTTGAATCACCAGAACCTTGGACAGGCCCAGGACAGAGCAGGTGTCCACTTAATAAACAAACGAGATGTGGCCCAGCCTTATGCTGACCATTCACATCAGGCTGGAGTGACTCACTCCCACTTTAGCAGAGACAGGCCAGGGTGGAGCAGCCGGCTCCCAGGCCACCCATCCCTGTACTTCTTACCTGGCCTCCCACCCTCAGCCAAGCAGCTTGTGGGAGGTCTACATTCCCAGGGCAACTTTGTACCCTGTCAAGGAAATCTTTAACTTCCGGAAGTGTCACAGGCAGGGAAAGTCGGACACTCTGGCCAGACTTGCAGTATGGCAACACTGTGACAAGTGTCCTGAAAATCCCACAGCTGGTGGTTTGAAGTGCTGGTGGGTCCTGTAGCTGGGAAATCTTGGTGGGGACAGAACCTCTGAAGAAATGGGGCTTGGGTTTGTTTCCCTGCTGCAATCTCTAATCTGAGACTTCTCCAGACCTCTCAAGAGGCCAAGCCATTTGCATTTACTGAGTCTCTAACAGTGCCAAAAACAAAGACATGTCAAAATAGGATACTGAGAGTATGATAATTTTGCGTGTTCCATTGAACAAATGAAAGGGCTTCACACACACACACACATACATGAAGTGATATGTGATATTGCTGATTTCAAGACTCATTAAAGAAATCCATTTCAATAGCAGTATGGGGAATGCCATGTAACATTAAAGTTACAGTGGACAACATTCTTCTTACAACTTTCAGTACACCTCTGTGCCTGCATGTATTGAAACTCAAAGGCCATAATTGGAGACTATCAAGGTGGCTTGCTCCTTCCCTTCCCCCAACAATATGCTCAACATTCTCAGGCCTGGACCCCCTCATTCCCCCTCATCAGTGAGTCCCATGTGGATGAGTGTTGAAGATTCGGTGTTGCCTGGCTGGGCACGTCATGCTGGCCAAGGCCAACCCAGAAAAAAGTTGCAATGGATGCCCCACCTAGGTGTGCCCTACTCCAGCTGTCCTCCCTCTGCAGCAAGTGCAGAACCTGGTGTCCAGGGTGGGGCTGTGGTAGGGCCTGCCCATCGGGACAGCCACTCGTACCAGCAGGTGGGGTTGAACTTGGGAGCTCCTCTGGGTCTCAACCACGTGAAATGGGCCCAGGCCTGTTGAGTGTTGGTTTCAGTCAGTGGAACATGTGATCCCCTGTGATTTAGGATCCTTCTGCTGCATGTGATGCTGTCTGGGCCATTCTGGTAAGTGATGCCACCCAGACAGACTGGCCTCGAATCATCAGGGAGGCACAAATTCTGCCCTGGCACACACTAGGGCTCCTCTTCCCTTGCCTTCCCTTCCGTCTTCTTCTTCTTCTTCTTCTTCTTCTTCTTCTTCTTCTTCTTCTATCTCCATCTCTATCTCCATCTCTATCTCTATCTCTATCTCCACCTCTACCAGTGCTTCCTGAATATTCCTGGGAGTGTTCTTCAGGTATGCATTTTCCCGTGGGAAATGTTCAGGTGTAAAAACAGGCAAGATCTCTGCTTGAAGGTCTTTGCTTGAAAGGGGTATCTGAAATATAAAGTTCTGGTACCATTGTGAGGTTCGGTGAGACAGTGCATGCAAGGTGCTTGAACACAGCGCCAGCCCAAAGCACCTGCTCAGCAAACAGTGCTCTTTCTGTCATTAATGTGGCTCTGACTGAGAGCCCAAAGAGAGCCAGCTGACGTCTGATGGACATTAAAGTGCTGAAGACAGGGACAAAATCATTGCTTGACTCTTGGGAATCTAGAATGAATTAACCCTTGCAAATAACTGTCTTACTATTCTCTGCTGAGCCCTAAGAAAATATCTGAACTAGAAAATCTTTGGTTTCTTGTCTATCTCTAGTTCTCTTATAATGTCATGAAAGAGAAAGTATCCAAAGAGGAGATAATCCAAAGTATTTGGATTATTTAAGGAAATACTTCCCTTCCTAATTTTTTCTACATTCACTGAGAACTCTATGTGTACGTTAATACTGGGTTTCATTTTCTGAGCGTATCTTTTAATGCAGCAATGCACAGAAAGTTACTAGGATTTTTCCTGGCACATAACTACTCAACCAATCATAGCTAATATGAGAGAGATGTAGAGAAATGGCCCGGAATATTAAAGTTAAAAAGAGCTATGACTTCAGGTAGGCAAATCTGACAATCATGTGATTAGGTTACCCAAAGTTTTTAGATCACTCGCTGTGGAATCAGACTGTTTGGGCTCAACTCAATCCACCACTTACAAGGCATGTTACTGTCTCTATGGCCCACTACCCTCGTCTGTAAAATGAAATCAATACTAGTATATCATAGGAAAGCTGAGAGACACAAATAGAATAACCCTGAGTGAGTGGCTACTTTATGACAGTTGAAGTTCCAAATTCTGAGACTCTCAGAGCTGACTTGAGAGCAGGAATTCTTCATCAAAGGCCAGAGACCCCAAGACTGGATTCAATATTTCGTGTCTGCATACGTTTTTCCTAAAGAGCACACCCACAGCTGTCCTCAGACTTGCAAAGAGGTTTGGGTCTCAAACATAATTAGAATTCACTGCCTCCCAGGCTCAGCCAAGGGTTTTCGAGCTGGAAGACTTGAAGATCATGCAGACCACTGTTCCCAGACCTCTCTGGGGAGGAGGATCAGCTGGGCAGCTTGCTGCAGACACCAACCTCTGCCCCTGAGAACTCGGATTCAGGGAGCGTGAGGTTTTTGTGTAGGTATTCCAGATGTCACTTGCCTGTGGGCAACCTTGAAACTGATCTCATCCAAACTTCTCATTTCTCAGGTGAGGAAACCGGCCCGGAGACCGGTTCAGTCTGAAACAGCTTCCATCCCGCACCTGCAAGACCCTCCCTCTCCTCTGAGTGAGGCCCTCACCCCACCTGGACAAAGGGGGAGAAATAATTTTCCCTCCACAACCCAAGTTCACATGAGGAGCTCTCTAAAAATAAAACCAGGCTTTTTCAAAAGGAAAATAAAATGCGTAGGCACCTCTGTGTCAGCCCTTTAAATCCCAAGGAAGCCTAGACCTTTCTTGCCAGGACTACTGACACCTCGCTCCGGCGCCCACCCCCCTCCACACACCCCCATCTCACTTTGCTATTTGAACAGCTGAGGCTATTCAGCTAACACTTTCAAGTGACATCTTTAAAAAATGTAGAGGCTTTGTTCTACTTCCTAAAGTCACAGGCGAATTACACACTGAACAGGGTATGTAATACCTTCAGTCTAATCCCATTCAGTCCTGTGAGGCCCACAGTGGGGGGCACCCCTTCCCTGGGGGACCTCGGCCAGGACTGAGTCTGGAGTGAGAGCAGGGCAGGCGGTGCTGCAGCGACAGTGGTGACAAAGTTCCATTTTCAGGGCTGCCCGGAAGAATCAGCTCAAGCATTCTCAGACAAAATCCAGAATCTTCTCCTTTTGCCTGGTGAAGTTCTCTCCATGCTGGCCAATGGCAGCCAAGGGAGTATGTGTTTTGTTAGGGTTTTGATGCTCACCAGCCACAGAATCCTGATGTAGCAAAAAGCTGAAATAACCCAAACTGTGTAGGGCATACGTGTCACATACCAGGCCAGGAAGCAAAACGCTGCAGGTTCATTTTCCTGAAAAGAGGACTATAAAAAGAGGCAGGCAGCCCCTTCGGGCCTGTGCTCCACCCTGAAGCTGGGCAGCAGATCAACTTTTCTAGACATGTCTGACAGTAGTACTCTTCACACTCCTGAGGACCGTGGGTCAGTGCGCGCTGGCTCGGCTGTCTGAAACGCCTGCCGGGGATGTGCTTGCCCCCTTCACCTGGGTTTCAGAGCAAGCACTGAAGCATGGGCTACACTCTGTGGTGCTGCTTACAAAATCACTGGCTACAAAAATGTCCAAATGGCTTTGTTGTTGTATTTTTTTCAGGTTTTATTTATTTATTTGTAGAGAGAGTAGAAGGGAGGGAGAAAGAGAGGGAGAGAAACATCAATGCGTGGTTGGTTGCCTCTCACATGGGGGACCCAGCCTGCAACCCAGGCATGTGCCCTGACTGGGAATCAAACCCATGACCCTTTGGTTCACAGCCTGCACTCAATCCACTGAGCCACACCAGCTAGGGCTTGTTGTATTTCTAACCCCAGGGAAGAAGTCCTTGATTCTTCCAAATTTACTTTTTACTTTTGGAGGCAACACAAACATAATGATCACCTTTTTAATTTGTTAGTTTAAGGAGGAAATTAAATACCAGTATGGGGAAAAATGGTTTTGTTTTGTTTTGTATAAAATCAGAGTTTAATAACCATTAACACACCAAGCAAAATCTTCCTCAGGACCTTTGCATTTGCTGTTTCTTCTGCTTAGAAGATCTGTCTCCAGATCTTCCTCACATGGCTGTTTCCTTCCGTCATTCAAAGAAGCCTTTCCCAGGTTGAAAACAGACCCAAGACACTTGCTCTCACAGCACTCAGTTTTCTCTTCACAGCATTTTAATGTTACTGAGTCATTTTAGAAAGTGGTGTTCACTGGCTTATAACCTGCCTCTAAGAAAATAAAGGCTTTGCCTTGTTTACC